ATCCTTTGTTTGGCACACCCCATGGAGTGTGCTTTCTAAACAGAGAGTCTCTGTTTGACCACACCAGAACTACTCACAGCTGCTGTTGCTGTCTCTCCAGGAGGAGACAACGTGGTGCTGACCTTCACTGGGTGCCTTCATTTATGGGCTGCCCACATGAGACACCCTCATATTGTCAGAGGGTCCAACCTTGTCTCAATATGGGAGTGCACAAGCAGCCCCCTCACTTGGGTGGAGAATGATGGAGATGAGTGGACCTTTCAGTGAGGCTTTTCCACATCCACAGGATTTGCTGCTCTGGATGAAAGTGACAGCAAATTCCCCTGTTGGTACCTGGACCTCTGTCTCCCACCAGAAGAACTATTTTTTGCAGATATTGAACTTCTCCTGAACAGAGTAAGGGAAGGTGCAACCTTTCCTCAGCTGAGGACATCTGTGCAGGCATGTGGACACAGCCAGGGAAGTCTCCGCGTGCCCAGCAGTGTGCACAGGGACAGTGAGATGGGTTGGTTGTTGACTTTCCTTTGATGCTCTAACTTTGCTCTAACTTTGATGCTCTAAGAGATTGTCACCTCTTCTCTGGTCAGCAGGTTACAGAAGACAGACTGGGACCAGATGAAGACCAGCAAGGGGAGGTCTGCATGGCACCAAACCTCTGTCTAAAGGCACGATGTGGGTTGTGGGGTGGCCTGCTTGGAGCCCTGCCTGGTCCCAGTGGTGGGCAGACCCTGTGTGTTACACAGCCATGGGGTGCAGTTGGTCAGTGCAACATCCTCATACGGCAGCAGTGTGGCCCTGGGGCGTCAGCCTGGCTGTGTCAGGGTTGAGTCAAGGCGGGTGGGGCAAGCCACACCTCATGTACCCCTCCACCAAAGCCATTGACACTAATGAGCAAGCAAGGCGGCACAAAGTGAGTGCTGGCTCCAATCCCACCATCTGACCCGAGGGGTGGACTCCCACATGGTGATCTCACTCTGTCAGCTTACTCACAGCTTCACAAGTAGCAGAGAAAGGTCACACTGAGTTAAAACTGAAGTGTGTTTCCTTGCAGCTTTTCTCCCTTGGGCCAGATGCTGGAGCCCTGACTTGGGCAAAGGTCCAATTGGAAATAATGAATGTAATTACCTTGTAAGCACCTTTGTAGAAAATACTGGTGTAGTTAATTATACAGATGTGATGCTAACCCATTTCCCAGTGTTTAAAATACAAATATTAATGCTTTCTCCTTTGGGCTTTTGAGAAGATTCATTATTGCTGCAGTCTAACAGAATGTCTGTCCTGGGTTCAGCTACAGCAGTCATTTTTTCTCCTTCTTAGTAGCTGGTGCAGGGCTGTGTTTTTGACTTTCAGTCTGGGAACAATGCTGATAACACCGATGGTTTTAGTTGTTGCTAAGTAATATTTACTCTGACCAAGGACTTTCTCAGTCTCATGCTTTGCCAGAGAGGAGGGGAAGCCAGGAGGAAGCAGAGGCAGGACACCTGACTCAAACTGGCCAAAGGGGTATTCCATACCACAGCACATCATGCCCAGTATATAAACTGGGGGGAGTTACCCGGAAGGCCCAGATCGCTGCTCGGGTCGGGCTGGGTATCGGTCGGCGGGTGGTGAGCGGTTGTGTCCTTTTCCCTTGTTATTCCTCTTATCATTATTATTGGTAGCAGTAGTGGTTTGTATTATACCTTAGTTACTGGAGAGCTGTTACCTCAACTCGTGGGAGTTACATTCCTTCGATTCTCCTCCCCATCCCTCCGGGAGTGGGGGGAGGAAGGAAAAGGGGGGGAGTGAGCGAGCGGCTGCGTGGTTCCAAGTTGCCGGCTGGGCTTAAACCATGACAATGTCTAAATTTTGCAGCAATCAGGTTAAGGAAGAACTTTCCAATGCTGATTTTAATGTCACTGGCTGATATTGTGCAGAACAGTCCTACGCTGCATAGTACTGGACTTCTGAGTGCCTTTGCAAGAATGAGGTCTTTAGTGGTGGCCCTTTTAACACCTAAGATTTTAGGACTAAACAGTGATTTTGGGGTTCTCAAATTGAAGATTAGAAACCTACCCTTTGAATATCAGGAGAATTGAAATCCTTGGAAGTGGATACCCAAAACCTGGGACTTACGTACCTTTGAAGAAATCCTGGCTAAACTGTTTAAGTGAAAATGCCACTATCTTTCATTAGGAATCCCAGGAAACAGCACAATAAACTCACAGCGTGGATTGAGCATGTCCTCTAGCATTTGAAGTTTTCAAAATGCAAACCCAGGTAATTCCGCACTATTTCTGATTGACTTTCTAGTTGTCAAACAAGGAACCCACTATTTCTATACTCAAAGAACTATTTCTGTGACCTGTAGTCACTATTTCTGTAGTCTGTCAGAAAAGGCCCAGTGCTGTCAGTTGGTGTCTGGCAGAGCTCTCTGTGAACAAATGAGCAAAAGCCACTAAAAGCGTTCTGCCTGCCTCAGTATTTGTTAACATTTCTGAACACATTAGGTTCAGAAAAGCCCATGGCAGGGCAGTTGGAACCAGATGATGTTTAATGTCCCTTCCAACTCAAACCATCTTGTGATTCCATGATTCGTTCTACAAGGAGAAAAAGAAGGAAAAAAAAAAGGGAGACATGAGCAATTTGGGCCTGGGTCTTACTGTCTGGTGAAAATCATGTCATGCATTTCATACCAGGCCACCTCTTCTACCAGCAGCTGCTGCTGCAGGCAGCACCGACAGGGGCTGGGGGCCCCGCCCGCGCCCCGCC